GGAGTATTAGAGCCGACAGGAAGAAATACGTGGAAGAATTAGCAACGACAGCAGAAAAAGCTGCTAGAGAAGGAAATATGAAACAGCTTTATGATACAACAAAGAAATTAGCAGGGAAATACAGTAAACCAGAGAGGCCGGTCAAAGACAAAGAAGGCAAGCCAATCACCGAAATTCAACAACAGCGTAACAGATGGGTAGAATACTTCGAGGAACTCCTGAATAGGCCGGCTCCAATGAATCCACCGGACATCGAAGCAGCACACATAGATCTTCCTATAGATGTCAATCCACCAACTACGGAAGAAATTAGAATGGCCGTCAGACAAATCAAGAACCGGAAAGCAGCAGGACCCGACAACATACCAGCTGAAGCACTGAAATCAGACATCGAAACAACCACAAGCATGCTTTATCTTCTATTCAAAAAGATTTGGGAGGAGGAACAAGTGCCGACGAACTGGAAAGAAGGACACCTCGTCAAGATTCCAAAGAAAGGAGATCTGAGCAAATGTGAAAACTACAGAGGCATTACACTACTGTCAATACCAGGGAAAGTCTTTAACAGAGTGTTGCTGAACCGGATGAAAAATGCAGTAGACGTCCAACTTCGAGATCAACAAGCTGGATTCCGTAAGGATCGGTCGTGCACAGACCAAATCGCAACACTACAGATCATCGTCGAACAATCAGTTGAGTGGAACTCGTCACTATACATCAACTTCATTGATTATGAAAAGGCATTCGACAGTGTAGATAGGAGGACATTATGGAAACTTCTTCGACACTACGGAGTTCCTGAGAAGATTGTCAATATTATCCGGAACTCATACGACGGACTACAATGCAAAGTCGTGCATGGAGGACAGCTGACAGAAGCATTCAAAGTAAGGACCGGAGTCAGACAAGGCTGTCTACTTTCTCCCTTCCTTTTTCTCCTGGTGGTCGACTGGATGATGAGGACCTCGACATCTGAAGGAAAACACGGAATACAATGGACAGCTCAGAATCAATTAGACGATTTGGACTTCGCAGATGACCTAGCCCTCCTATCACGTACACACGAACAGATGCAGATAAAGACAACCAGTGTAGCAGCAGTCTCTGCATCAGTAGGCCTCAGCATACACAAAGGGAAAACCAAGGTCCTCAAATTCAAAGCAGAGAACAGCAATCCAATCACTCTTGATGGCGAAACTCTGGAAGATGAAGAGTCCTTCACATACCTGGGAAGCATCATCGATGAACAAGGAGGATCCGATGCAGACGTAAAGGCGAGGATTGGCAAAGCAAGGGTCGCATTCATACAATTGAAGAACATATGGAACTCAAAACAACTTTCAACCAATATCAAAGTCAGAATCTTCAATACGAACATCAAGGCAGTTCTACTGTATGGAGCTAAAACTTGGAGAACTACTACAACCACCATCAAGAAGGTACGAGTATTTATAAATAGCTGTCTACGTAAGATACTCAACATCCATTGGCTGGATACCATCACCAACAGCCTTCTGTGGGAGAGAACAAACCAGATTCCAGCTGAAGAGGAAATTAGGAAAAGACGATGGAAATGGATAGGACATACATTACGCAAATCATTAAACTGCATCACGAGGCAATTCTTAACTTGGAATCCTGAAGGGAAGCGGAAAAGAGGAAGGGAAATAGAAGCAGATTTGAAAAGGATAAATAACAACTGGAAGGAGCTGGAAAGGATTGCCCAGGACAGTGTTGGATGGAGGATGCTAGTGAGCGGCCTATGCTCCTTCATGAGGAGTACCTGGCGTAAGTAAGTAAGTACCATACCCCACTAACACAGAGATGAAATGTTCAGACCAAACCCCAAAATAGCAGTAGTATAGATCAAGTAAGGTATAATGAGTTTCATGTTACTTGTAAAAACAATAAACACGCTTACATCTCATGTATAAACACAATGAAAGAGTGATTCATGTAAAGAGTCAGAGGATTTAATTATTATCCTCATATTATGTAGACCAAATTTATTATAATTTTATGTGACCATTAAAAAGCTATAGTTAGCATTTGATTAAATGAATAATTTAGAAATAATTAAGTGAACAACTCAAACATATCTGACTAAATTACAAACTGACCGACGTAAAAGCCAAGAAATCTAAACATGTAACTCATAAAATACGTTACTTTTAATAATATACTTTATCAATGTACTTGTTAACTAAAAATAGCTTATGCAAAGTTAATAGAGTGATAACTAAGTGTTGAAATCAATTAACATAATGTTTTTCAATGATAATTTACTTCAGTCAATGTAAAATTATCACTTATTCCTAAAAAACACCTATTCCATTTTTTATTAATACTTAATGTCAAAGGTTTATAAATCGATTGCTGTTTTGTCTTGTCATTCCTTTTTTATATAATCATTAATCCCATCTATCATGCATTTACCTTAGTTAAGTAACCAGTGAAAATCAGGAAGCATTGGTTCAATTGTAAGAGCACTGGTTACGGTTGGAGTTTAGCTATGTCAGGATTGAGGCAGTTACCCACTGAAGGAAATGGGAGATGGTTGTGTAGTATCGCGAGTTGGTTGAAGTTAGCTATCTAAATCATTGGATACAGGCTTTTTGATCTAAAGGCTTGCCTTGAGGCCGGAATATCCTAGGATGCATCATCGGTGAAGTCATTAATCTGTACTGTTGAGGGGTCTTACAGTAAGATTAGGAAATTGAAAGCCGACTTATAATTACTATCGATTGTGTATGTATTCAAACAAACAAAAAAACTGTGATTTGGCCAAATGAAACCACCTGTCTACTAAATGTACATTTGTAAATACTAAGACGGGATTAGGTTTGATACTGACCAAAGTGGTCAACTATTCATACAGAATTATTTTGAAAAAGAATCTATTCACTTTACAAATTCCTGTATTGAGAGATAGAGACACAGAGAGAGCAACGAAATGTACAGTTTAGGAATTAGTATATTCCATTAAACTCGTTCAAATCTACTGTTTCATATCTGTGTGTACACACGTACAAGCACAGAAAACAGGCAGGATTAACAAATTGGGCGAAGGGAAATAAAAATGAATGGAAAACTGCAAAACAATAAAAAAGCATTAGGTTTTAAATAATACTAAATTTGGTTGACAAAAATAATTCGCTTATCATTGGTGTTTGAATCATCCCATTAATGTTTAGAACTGGATTTGATCAGTTTCTTATTGGTAAATATACATCCTGTGTGGATTGCCCCCATATTGTCATTAAGTCACAAGTATTTCGGGCAGAGATGGATGGTAGTTAGTAGTGGAATACAGGACACAGGTTTTGACCTATTTGGGACGCACCAACTTGATGTACTTGCATCCCAGAGTTGATGTTCACTCCGAGATTCCAGAACTCAGTAGCTAAATGGACAACGGATGACGTTTGAACCGAATGGTACTCACATTGAGTCTCAAAGTGAACCTCAATTCCAGGATCCCGGTACACCTAGCTGACGAGTCCCAAATAATTCGAAACCCGTAGCCTGGATTCCACTGCTAGGCACCATCCATCTCTGCCTATACAAACAAAAATAGATTATGTAAGATATTATCACCGCTATTATTACTACTTAGTTAAAAGTTTTAATTTCAAGTTATATGATTACGGAAATTTTAAATACTTAAAAACTCTCTCTGCTTTCGAAAACAATAGAAACTGTGTTAGATTTTATTAATGGAGAATTGATTCTACTATTATTATTATTATTAGTAGTAGTAGTAGTATTAGTAAAAACTCAAACATTGCTTATCCATCGGTCATTGCAGAGCATGGTATAGTGATAATAATTCAAAGGTATATTAGTTAATATATTAAATTCATTTATTACAAACTTTTTTTCTTTTTCCGTTCGATGTTTTTCATTGTTCCATTTATATGAATTTAAATGAAAAATTTAACCAAATATGAAAACACTTGGATATGTAGTAGACCAAAACTAAATGAAAATGGGATAATTTATATTTGATATAAGTATGTGTGTGTGTTTGTGTATTTCTGTTTCGGTCAATAATAACAAAGGAACAAATATACATACATATAATTACTACCAATGACCGGTATCATTGTTTTCTTTAAAAAAAAATTGACATTGTCAATTTCTCATCATGAAAACAATATCATAATACTCCACTGCTTATGTAATGCATATACGAAACAATTTTCATTACAAGATAACCACTTCACTTCATTCTCTCTCTCTCTCTCATTCCCCTCTCTTGCATACGCATAAACACAGAAATCCAACTCATCTGTCTATAGGATTTCTACCTTAACAAAGGAGTTATCTTTTGAAAGCAAAGCGCACTAAAATAAAAGATCAACTTTTTAAACAATTGTAAAGGAAACAAAAAAGAGATGTGAAAGAAAGGGATAGTTAACGTTATTCTGATTTATTGAATATTAATGGAAAGAAATATTTAAGCCCTTAAGTAATTATTTCTAAGTTATAAAAATTGGAATTTCGATGAGTAATGATAGAAAAATAAGGTGAAAATAATATTGCTGGGAAGGCTTACGTCGTTACATTATATCATTCATAATTCAATATAACGTATAGAAAAAATAATGTCGAATTGTGTTTAAGTTGAAAGTGACATTTACATATTTCAATAAACACTAAGTAAATTTCAGTGGTGAATTTTAAGTGGTATATGGCATAAACATAAGATTTGATATCAACTGGTTTGAGACAACTGATATAAGGCTTTAAACTTCATTTACATATCGACAAGTACTTATTATCAATATGTATAGGCAATGTTTAAGGAAATAACCCACTTCCTGTTGGGCCCCAACCCGGGTCATTCAATATCACAACCACTAAAAGGTTTGGCTCGAAAATGATCTCCTGTAGGATTGAGAGGATTAAAGCAGTGAAACGGATGTGAACGTAATGTAGTGTCGAGAAAACAAAATATATGTATATTAAACCAACAGAGTATACAGTCCGAAACTTACACATCATCAACTTGCATATCTTTTAAAATTTGACAATAATCTACATTCCAAACAGCTTGGTCATCCCATACTTTACTAGCCAGTACTATAGCGCATAAAACTATTCTTTTCCAAGAACTTGGTGTCAATTCTGTCTCAGCACTAGTCAAAAGACGTTCCAAGTAAACCTATATAATAAATGTGATTTAAAAAATTAAAATAGGCTTCACTGATTAGCATTATTTGTACATGGTGATCTCCAAAATTTAGCAAATATCTGTATCGAAAGCAATAACTAGGCTTCATGAAAAACGAACTACAAGCGTTAACATTCTCTAATATTGACGATAGGATGTATTACAAATTTAAGGAAACAAATAGAAACTTAAGTGTTTTACAAGTTCAGTAATCATTCATGGACGTGATTACAACATGTAGAGCCCGATCAGACTTAACTGTCATTTCCACGTTACTAACTAAATTGATCGGTAAATTTCATTTTCAACTTTAGCCGGAGAGCAGTTGAACTTCGAGTGTTAACTGTACGATAAGGGGACAGTAAATTATAACCGGTATCATTGGCGACATCACTTTGTCGAAAAGGAGAAGTAAAATAACCATAGATGCAAAAATAGTATACTCTATTCATCCACAGAGAGTGGTCACTAACGTAAAATAGCTATCACTTGAGCTTTGGATAAACCAGCAAAACGAATCCGTATTCTTCAAATTTCATAATGACATACTTTCATAGCGCATCAATTGTCGATATACTTCCAACAACACATGAGTACATTTTGTTATTCTTCTATACTTTTTCATGTTTCCTAGATTTTTATCTCTTTTGATTAACAAAAACTTCTCATCAATGTAATCTCCTCTTGCATGGATAAGTTGTTGTAACGATCCAACCTTACGAAATGTTATTCCTAGTCTTTTAAAATCTTATGATCCCGCGACATGCACGGTGTCCTTCTTAATCCCATATATAGAACATCAGCCTAGTTGTCCACATGAACTTAAATAGTCAACGCTATGAACCTACATGATTTACTCTTCAGACACCTAGAGAACAGATAACAAATCATGGTTTAACATACGTACAGCACTAAGTTTGAAAGTGGAACTATCAGCAGTTGAATTTAAAATGTTTCAACTAGTGAGTTTTGTTGCCCCGATTAAGTACTTAATTATATGAAACTGTTTGAAATAATGTGAAATGGAGACGGAACGTTAAAGTCTTGAAGTCTACACATATGTATATTTACTTCAGCATATTCAATAAAAAATATTTTTCTTAATTATATTTTAAAAATCAGATATATGTATATATGCTTTTAATTCGCTAATCTTTTTTTTCTCTATTGCAATAAATGCACATATTTATTATTCATATAAATACAAAAATATTTTTACTAAGTAATCATTCAAACTGCTATATGACATACCATAGTAACAATTGCACATTCTGGAGAAAGCTGGGCCATTTGGAATAAATTACGAATGAACCGATATACTGTTTTCAAATCTGGATCACGTGTAGCATAATCGAAAGGAACTGGCTCATTCTATACAACAACAAAAAACAATTATTTTTAAATGAAATGAAACTAACATGAAATATTTCAAATAGTTAAGTTTTAATCAGCTAATATATATATATATATATATATATATATATATATATATATATCATCTTATGAAATTGCATACAATGATGTAACCATTAAAATTGTAAGTGTACAAACTGAAAGGAATTATTTATAAGGATAAAGTTGAAAGCACTGATAAGTTTTTCAAAGTGAAATAAAATTAAACATTCTGTATGACAGGGTCTAGTCATCGAGACCTAACGACTCTAATCTCCAAACTAACTTCCAGATTTACAGTCTATGGAATCTGGAATATACTTACTGACATATAAATACACTTTGGTGGGATCATGTGTTCTGCAATAGGTGATTTAAATGCGAACTGTTACCAGAATTGTTCACCACAAGTATCGTTCATCAGGGTTACCCTTTGTCCCCTTTCATTTAATTCTGTTATTGATGTCCTCCTGGAAATTATATTTTCATCCTTTAACTTTCACAGATTAATTTCCAACAACGAAATTTCCTTGTCAATTTAGAGTAGTAGATTATGTAGTGTGGTTTGGGGAAGACCATGACAAAGTCCAGGCTTCTGAGCACAATAAGCAACAATGCAAGCAAACTTGAGACGTTTTTCTCTCCCTCTAAGTGCGAAATGTTGCTTCAGGACTGGTCTGAGTCAAAGCCTGAACTAATAATGGGGAGTGAATTAATTTGTTAACTACTTCACTCATCATGGAAGTCCTATAGACCGCGATGGATTGGTGTCTGATAAAATCTCAGCAAAGATTCAGAAAGTTTTATTAGCTTTAGCAAACTTATATCACGTTTCTATCAGCTAGCCAAATGGTGAGTTAACTGTGTAGTATTCCGCTGTTTTACTAAATTGGTGTGACAAATACCCATTAACAAAAGAGGATATTTGTAGGATGCTAGAAGTCCATCAAATGTGTCTTCCAAGCTTTGGTCGTGTAGTGGAGAATAATCGAGTGAGTAATGCTAATATATTCGCCGTAGGATATAAGATGGAAATTAGAAACCAGTGAATTAGTTTATGAGTCTTCACCAATTGAAGTGGTTGAGACACATATTACGTATGTATGACCGTCATCTGCCTTAATGGATGATGTTTGTATATGTAAGAGGAGGCTGGAAGAAAGTTGGAGTTGATCAAACCAAGACGTGGCACCAGTCCACAAAGTCAATGACAATTAAACTGAGTCATGTTGATAAGTGCAGACAACCTGACTTGGTTGGTAACCGAGTGATTTTTGTGACCAATGTTTAGAGATTTTGGATGATGTGGTTTAAAATTGGTTAGAATGACCCAGGTTCATCCACTCCTTATCTTTCCTGAGATCTCGAGTCCCAATATTCCTCCATACATATCTTTTCATTCTTTCTTATCGAACAACATTATCTATGTGTAATCTTTCATATTGGTATTTCTAATACATCATTAAAACTCCTTTGTGTAACTTGGACCAGGTTTCCCAGTTAATCAATCAGTCAGTCAGTCAGCTACAACGTAGGACTAAGCACATATGTGCATTGGTCGAAGTTGTCATACCTCATTAGCACAACAAGATGAACACCGGATTCATAGTAGTTGTGGTAATTTACAAAAGAACTATTGTATGTAAGGATATAGTACAGAAGAGAGATTTTGGATTATGTAGTTTGAAATCGGTTAGAATGATCCAGGTTCATCCACTCTTTGTCCTCCATTGGATCCTAATTTTTCTAAATTATCTTAAAATTGTATTTTATTATTTCATGAATACCTATTTTTTCGAAACGTATATTCTATGCCTAATCTTTCCTATCACATCTAATACTTACAATTTCTATTGCTCGGAGATTCATCTTGACAGTTTTACCTTGCCAAGTTGATGTGGTGTGACAATTTGAACCGAAGCACATATGCGTCAGATCCCATCTTGGATTTGACTCTCAGTAAGGTTAATTCTAATATACGGACTGTAATTGTTAAAGTCTTTATCTCGTAAAAAAAAGAGCTTAAATCGGTAAGTGTAAACTAATCTCTAACTTTTGACATTTAATGCATATATACTTTAAATGAGGTTTCTCGCCACAAAGAACACATGCTACATAAAAACATTTAGTTTAAAAACAGAATATTAAAATGTTTATGACCAAGACGATAACTAAAGAAGTGACACATGTAAAATGGACGTTTAATTCAAACAAAAACCACTACTTCATAAACGTATATCGAGTATGAATTCTTTTAAATTTAATTAGATACTTTTCATCACGAAATAAAGACAGTTAGGCTGATATAAAAGACAATAATGAATAAATGTTTTACACTTAGTTTTAAACAATTATAAAAGTGTTTTGGAATCTCTCAGAATTATCTTTAAAGAATCGAATTTATTGTTGTTGTTATTATTATTATTTTAAAGTGCCACCTTTAAGAACCAAGTAAGCCTTCGTCTCATTCATGGAGTCCCATATAGAATTGAACTTTTGCCCTGTTACAGTTCCATTATTTCCAGGATTGTTCTATGGCTATTAAATCGGCATGTTAGCATATTTCATCATCTTTTCCTAAAATATAAAGCTGTTATAAAGTTAAGTCTTCGTTCTTAGTACTTGTGTATACATGTCATCGTTGAAAGGTTATTATGTACCAATTGTTTGATCTACCTAGCCACATTACATTCGTCCTTGTATTGTTAGTGTCTCTTTGGTCATTTTAGCCGATCAGTAACGAAATACAGCAGAATCGAACACATCAGGTCTTATGGAAAATGTATTATCATTGACCCACTGAAGAGAAGTATGATGGTATGTATTTTACAACTTCTGTTAATTTTAAAATTGGATAAGTAAAACAATTCTCAAAAAGTGGAAAAAACAAATATTATTAATTTCTCATGCAGTGACTCAATAACAACTCTACTGATGACCAGGAATATGAAACTAGATTTAGAGAACGTGACGTTTATAAGCTTTGAATAACAATGAAGCAATTGGTCAGTGTACCCTACTTTACAGTGGTTTTTCAACTATGTCAAATTTCGACTGAGACTCAGAGCTACATGATTACAGGTAAAAAAAAAACCTTTAGCTTAGGCGGCCGGATAAAATAACTAGTTTTTATCTAAATACGCGCATCTCGTAGTCAAGAGCACTGACCTGTACATGACTATTGGGTTACATTAATTAAATACTTTTAAATCAGAATAAAATAAATTTATTTGCAAACTAAAGATAATGAAAAATCACCTGTATAGGATGTAAAGATTCATCGAATATTTCAATCATAGGATCACAAGCAATTTTATGATTTCTATGCTTAATCTGTAAATAAATTGCCTGAGCTAATGCGCGAACAGTGGATTTAGGATCTGGTCTAGTTACAGTTGAATCATGCAGCCATATAGTTGATGTAGAACTGGAACGATAAAGTACAGGAATGGTATTTTGACGAGTTCGTGGAACCTGTAATACACATAACGAAGAATATATATATATATATATATATATATATATATATATATAGAGAGAGAGAGAGAGAGAGAGAGAGAGAGATAAAATATTAAATATTTTGGAAATTATTAATTACACTGAAATTATAATGTTAATTTGAAGGAGAGAAGTTGTTGTTGTTGTACGTAATATTGAGAATAGTTTAGTCTTTATATCGGCATGTCAGTGTATGAACTATTTTGAATAATTGAATTACTTACACGGACTGATAATGTAACAGTTTCAAAGCATCAAAGCTTGGAATGGCACTTTGATTGAGAAGTTATAAAATTGGTTGGAATGAGGAAATTGAATAAGTATCGTATAAAGATAAAAGACCCGATATATTTGGACCGAAACGAAGTCAATATGGTGAGCAGTTTGAGCTCAAACATACACAGTCACAAATTTGTCCAAATATATACCCAATTCGACAGTTCAATGTTCATCATCACTACTAACAAATATGAGCCTTGAAAACCAAGTATATATCTGTGAACTCTGCCATGAGCTACACCTTTTATGCAGGGGGTTAGTGATAATAACTAGGTGTTTAAGTTGACGTATGCTGAACAGATATCAGATAAGTAACTTCAAAGTTAATATTCGGACGTTTTAATCACTAACTTAGTAACTGATTCATACAAAACTCAGACTAGGATGATACAACTTGAAACCTTTCACCTTCCAAACCTATTCTTACTTCAAGTAACTTAAATCGTTTAGATCAGAAAAAAATACACATAATATGACTTAGCAGTCACACCCATACAATAAGGATAAACAGCAATACGCATCTGTGACGGACGTGTTCACCGTTCCTTATATTATACCTTACAGCCTACTAAATCTATAAGTGCCGTTACAGTTCCACAGTTTTTTGTTCTTATGCAGTATTATCGAGGAGCATTGCAAGAAAGTACTTTTTTATTCATAAACACAAGTTTATTTTGACAAAAATAAATATCACAGATTGAAATCATGAGGCAATTGAAGCTAGACCACCATGGAAAACCTGGAAGCACTGGATGGCCGTTTCGTCCTAGTATGGGACTCCTCAGCAGTGCGCATCCACGATCCCGTACCCCGCGAGACTCGAACCCACGACCTATCACTCTCGCGCCAAGCGCTTAACCAACTGGACCACTGAACCGGCATCCAATGGTGTTAATGTGTAACTTCAACCAATCCACGAAGTTGCGCAACCGTACATTATTGTCTTCAGTGAGATGATATCTCACAAGAGACCTGGTTGAACTCCACTGGTAACGGCTTCTCACTAGAACTCCAGGAGTATTTCTTGAAGTCAGTCACTAGTGAGCAGATGATTATTATCAAAAGGGGTTTGTGGAGATTTTAGAAATTTCACAGATTGAAATCATGAGTCAATTGAAGCTAGACCACCATGGAAAGCCTGGAAGCATCGGATGGCCTGGGTTCGAATCTCGCGGAGTAAGGGATCGTGGATGCACACTGCTGAGGAGTCTCATACTAGGACGAAACGGCCGTCCAGTGCTCCCAGGTTTTCCATGGTGGTCTAGCTTTAATTGACTCATGATTTCAATCTGTGAAATTTCTGAAATCTCCACAAACCCCTTCTGATAAAAATAAATATCCCATTTAAAAATTTATTATTATACATACAACATAAATATATACATAAGATAAAAACTAATGAACAAATAAAATATTACACTGTAAAAATCATCAAATATGAAAGTAAACGGTTATTTTCAAATTACAGTAAATTAGAAAAATACATATTCAATCATCAACTTACATTACGATCATATTTAGTTCGAATTTCACGAAGTTCTATGGAAATAAAAGAGAATTAAACCAAAAGTAAAAACCATTTTCTATTGAATTTGAAAAATAATATGTAAACAATGATATTAACAAGTGGCATTACCATGTTTTAACTTGATTTCATATAAATTGAGCATTGAGTAGATTATTATCAATAAAAATAATCTAGTTGTAATATTCTACTGAGTAGAAAAATTAAGTTTTTGAATTGTTTGACATTTCGTAACTTAATGTAGGCCACTTCTTCAGAGAATAAAAAACAAATTAAATTAACCCACGTCTCAATAGTACAAAGGAATAAACTAAGAATATTTGGTGCAAAAAATTAAGAAATCCCTAAAACTGTGCTTAGATACAACTTTGTTTACATTTAACTGGACATTATACAACTAAACAAACGGAGTAGCAATGCGATCTCACGGGTCCCCGATTGTAGCCTACCTGTTTATGTCACATATAGAATCAAATATTTTCGTTAAAGACACTAAACCACGAATTTAGTTCACATATGTAGATGATACTTCTGTTACCATAAAAAGGACTCACCTAAAATATTCCTCTAAATTGATCAATACTCTCTCGTTGCACATTAAATTTATGTACGAGAATCAAAGAGAACACGGTGAGCTGCAATTTTTAGATTGTTCAGTTAAAAGAAATCTAAGTGGAGCTCTAAATCTAACCATTTACCGAAAACCAATACACTCAAATCATTATATCGACTTTAATTCAGAACACCATTCAATGCAAAAATCTCTCTAGCCCTAAACCTCTTTAGAAAAGTAAACAAGATTACTACATCTGAAGAGTATAAACAAAAAGAACGAAAGGATATGATTAACAGCTTACGACTCAATAATTTTCCTATGAAGATTATTAAAAGTGGGATATAACGAGACGAATTACTGTTAAATAATAATCCGAATGAAATATCATGGATTGGTACTGTAGTTTTACCATACCACCATAGTATAACAGAACTCGAGTCTTAAAACAACACAATTAAAGTATATTACAAAACAATGAACACCCTTCGAAATGCTTTGGTTCGCATAAAGGAAAGAATCCCCTTTATGCCAACACAAAATTATATCTACAAATTAGGATGTGTCGGTTGTGGTGCCTTCTATATTGGAGAGTCATCTCGTGAAATCTTGACTCGAACCAAAAAACACCTTAGGTAAACAAAGAAACCGTAGAACTGGAAAGAAACAAATTAAATAGGCAATGGAAGTTCATACCATTTTCAACAACCATCAAGTCGCTATTAAAAACACCAAAATAATACAAAGAAGGCTTTTTCAACTGCAAAGAAGAGCGAGTAGCAGAAGGTTTCCATATGTTGCTTAATTTTACTGTCCTCAATAGAAAAGGAGACCTCGCTACCCTCCGACTTCGACCATCTCTTCGAGCTACCATGTCTGATTTTATTCACACCTCACACCATTATCGTACATACAAGTTCAACTCTCCTTTCACACCACAAATGTCACATTTTTCATCCTTTAACATACATACACAAAAATATGTAAATATGCCTCACATAAACCATCTTGACCGGAATAACATGACATTGACTTGATCAGACATGCTTTGATTGATTGCACCAAATATTCTTACTTTGTTCCTTTGTACTACTTAAACTTAGGTTAAATCAATTTGTTTATATATTCTCTAAAGAAGTGGTTTGATGATATTAACAATTTACGGAAAATTACAATTACAGATTCCAAGCATGAAGTGAACAAAAACTAAACACTTTCGATTAAAATGATTGAAAAGAGTAACATTTTTAAAGTGCGTTGTATACTTGATTAAATTGGTAATAATGTCCACCTTCACAAACCAATAACTCTGATTTGAATAACTAATCCAACACAGAGTAACAACTTTTCTGAAAGAGGTTACAGAGAAAAGGTGTAGTGCTCCGTAAATATATCAATCTAGTATTTGTGCTATTAAACAATAATTGAATAGGTAGGCACTTATTTCTAAAAAGATCTTTTCATAACACAAAGATGACTAAACTAGTTTGTGATCCACGCTTGTATTCATCCTCTACTACAGGAAATGTTGCACAGTCGATGCTTCGTAAAGTCTGTATATTTTTATGAGCGCAGATGACTTTAATGATATTTTTCTGAAGTATAACAGTAATAATGTTTTAAGTCTTTTCCGTTCTCTGTAGACTAGGTTGTTTAAATTATAATGGATTCCGAGGTTCATTTGTTTCAATGATAAATATATTACACTAAAATAGGTCGATTTTCAATGTCGATTCGGGTTTTAGTCAAGTTATCATCAGTACAATAGAAATGGATTAATTTCTTGATACGCTGTGTTTATTGGAGAAAAACTTTTTTTATAAAAAAGCGGTAAATTATATAAAAAGTTACTAAGTAATTAATTACTTTATCCATAATTACATGCAATCAGTCGTGAAATTAAATCCCAATATATCAAAGCTTGTAGCAAAAAGTTAATATCAAACTAATCACTCAAGTTGTTTTAAAAAATGACCGATCAAATTTCAGTTTTAAATATCAAATCTGGAGTGGAACAAGCTCCTACGAATGGAGAAACAATGAAATAAAGGAATAGAAAGTATGCGATGAAATTAAGGTCTAGGAAAATTAAAAAGTCAATGCATCTGCCCTAATAGAAAATATTTGAATTCTTCTTAACTAAAGCCTCCAACCCCATCTATGACGACAGCTCACACCAATATCCAATGATCTCATTAAGTGGATTGATTTACTCATAACTAATTCCTTATCGAATTGTATAGTTTCTGTTCAAATAGCTAAGTAGTTGTTTACTGAAAGATATTAATATTTGATCGATTTGGTGGCACATTTACTTAAACATCATGTACCAAGTAACCGAACCAGATGCGGGTTTTACTATAGAGTATATGTGTATGTTACTTACTATTCAATAAGTTAACCTTGAATTGAGCATTAAACATTTAGTACAAATCAATTATTTTTTGGTTACTGAAATGGAATATATCACCGACAAATAACCGAATCTCATTATACTGAGAATATAATTAGGTTGTTATGCTAAGGTTACAACGAATACACGCAATGTACTGCTTGGTAAATAACCTATGGAGGGAAACGAATCCATTGGCATTACACTTACTGCCAAGTAGTGCCTAGAATTGGTGGGGAATATTTGTAGCTCAGATGGATGATTTTGGTAGAGTGCCTAGAGTCTGAGGAGGAACGTGAACTACATTGTGAGTAGTCTAAACCAATAAACAGTTACTGCAAATTGCTGTTAACTTAACCCTGCTGTAACTTACTTCATATAGGTATTTCACTGAATAAAAAGTAAAAACTGGAAGAATTATAAATCAGACATTCAATACGGTTTGTACTATTCCAATTACTCTTAAGTAGCGATATCTCTAGTCAATCAAGATAGACAAATAAAAATGACAAATTATTGACAGATAGATGTGAAATGGGTATAATCAAGTGCACAAGACAATTGCTTTGAATAATCTAACTCTGTAACGATGAACAGTGTTGCACCGTAGATTATGAAATATAGCATTTGTGATAGAGATAATGATCATGAAACTGACTGATTCCATAAAGGTAGGTGAGGCAATATTTCGGCTTCTGATCTTTAGTCTTAAAATTCAATGCATGAATCTCTGAATTGCGACGCTATACAGAATGTGCATTTTATATAATAATTCTACTTGGGTGATAAAATAGGCAAGAGGTGAACGAAATGCACATGACTGACACATAATTATTCTAGCGACCTTACTCAGATGACATGAGAAGAAATGAATTCCCATGCATGAAATCCGTCCATTTCTAGTAATTTATAACACCATGCAAATACGCTCCATCAACAAACTATTCCATCAGGGAATGTCCTTCATACATACATACAAACAGCGTAAATATATCAAACCTGAAACTAATCATGTAAGTATTTCGCAATACGGGCTACGATATACATTTAATAATAAGATGTTACATTTTTAAGATGGAGATTTTGTGTATGGAAGAAAGAACTTAGTAAAATCAGTGCTTCTGTTTTGTTTTTACAAATCTAAAAAGATTATGAATAATTACGATGTTAAGGCTTTTTCAATCAATTAGTTAATACAGAACAAAAGTTCGATAAAAATAATACATTGTGCTAAATGATAATACAACAAGAACACAGAAAATCAATAAACAGCATGAGTGATCACTACAGTCTTTTGTTTAATAAATAAAAAACTTTTAAGCTTGGAGTTTAACATTGTTTCTTTATCAATTTCTTTACTCATATAATTAATATACACCTGAAACTTTGTAAACATTACTTTGAAATATACATGTTATGTGAAGGCTAAAGATGTTTTAAACATAAGTAGGTGGGAGCTGAAATCAAAACCTTAATCTAAAAGTTTAATCCAATTGAGTTACGGTACCACGTTGGTCTGCTTAATAATTCTAGGTCTAATGCTCACCCCTTTTCCTTTCGGATACCCATGTATATGAACAATCACAATGCAAACGCGTAGCTCATTTAAGTTTCACTTATTTTCATTCTTTTAATTGTTATGGATTAATTGGCATACTTCTTTTCATGTATTGATTAGTTCTTGTTAAGTTTTTATGACTCAATGGCTTTTGAAGAAATAACTTGACATATGTTGTTCGTTCACAAGTGGATGCTTTAAAGTGATACTTTCATGAGATGAAACTATTGACCAATACTGAGTCCACACAGAAAAATGCATCATTGACGTTTTGAAACAATATACACTAAAGAGGCTAAGTAACCAATGACTATAAACCATTATTAAGTCTTGTGAACCTTTTCAGGAGGAGGACTCATCAAAGTCTGTCACAATCATCCAAATATGGGTCACATTTGAATAAATAGGAGAAAACGAGAGTGATAGGATAAAATGAAATGATGTTTATTAACCAGTACACCAACTGAAATTAGACATTAGAGAAAGATATCTTACTCTTCATTGATAAAGACAAAATTATACTAGTGATAAAATTTATCAGTATTAATCAAACGTGTGGAATGTTTACAACAAACTAAGTAAAAAACATACTTCTTTCAATGTCTTTACTTGAACGTTGCATAAATAATGTTCTTTTAGTTGGATTTAAAGATGGATCAGCCTCAGTATCTAAAAAATGGATTAGGACAAGAACACTGTGAGTAAGCTGTTAAATATATAACACGGTGTAGCACAATCTTGTGAATATTCACGACTCAACAAGTACAAAATTTATTTCTAAATAAACAGCAATAAATTAAGCATAAATAAAAAACGCTTAAATAAGTATTAAATGTTCGGAAATAGTCAATAGGAGGCCATGAACTTATGTTTCATAACTAAAGGGACACTATAATTTTAAGTATAAAACGTCCATTAGGTTGGTATTACTGTTGCTTGGGGCTGGAACCATGTCATTCATTGCTATAGTCGGAAAAATTTTAAGTACTAGATCCCATCATTGGATAGGTCAGTCAGTCGTAAACAGCGTAGAATGTGGGACAAGTGTGTACTGGGTCAAGATCGTAACCAATGGTTGGAGACTCTGGGTGACATGACTCAAAATCAATAACAATGGAGTAGGTGTATATACTCTATGTCTTCCCTTTAAGAGATTAAAATCACTGTACTATGTCCTTACATACAATAGTTCTTTTGTAAATTACCACAACTACTATGAATCCGGTGTTCATCTTGTTGTGCTAATGAGGTATGACAACTTCGACCAATGCACATATGTGCTTAGTCCTACGTTGTAGCTGACTGACTGACTGATTGATTGACTGGGAAACCTGGTCCAAGTTACACAAAGGAGTTTTAATGATGTATTAGAAATACCAATATGAAAGATTACACATAGATAATGTTGTTCGATAAGAAAGAATGAAAAGATATGTATGGAGGAATATTGGGACTCGAGATCTCAGGAAAGATAAGGAGTGGATGAACCTGGATCATTCTAACCAATTTTAAACCACATCATCCAAAATCTCTAAACATTGGTCACAAAAATCACTCGGTTACCAACCAAGTCAGGTTGTCTGCACTTATCAACATGACTCAGTTTAATTGTCATTGACTTTGTGGACTGGTGCCACGTCTTGGTTTGATCAACTCCAACTTTCTTCCAGCCTCCTCTTACATATACAAACATCATCCATTAAGGCAGATGACGGTCATACATACGTAATATGTGTCTCAACCACTTCAATTGGTGAAGACTCATAACCTAATTCACTGCTTTCGAATCTTCGCCTAGTATCCTGATTCGGTCTAGGCATCCGGGCAGTATCAAAGCCCACACACAAATCAAATGAAATGAAATGACTTCGCCGAGTGCTCTATGGCTGAACTCGGCATTACTCACTCGATTATTTCAAAATACATGGCCAACGCTTGGGAGATACTTATAATCTTTTGTTGCACGCTTACACATCAATACTCCGAAATAACCACTGGTCTGCGGTGAATGGCTCCTTAAGAAATCCACCGAGCAGTATTCCAGCCCTTACACAAATCGAATGATTTGTGTGGCGCATATATATTTGGTGTCTCGTTGTATCAATGTTAATGTGTTGAAATGAAAAAATACTAGTAATTAATAAAATAGTCAGGCCATAATTGAAGAACAAGCGACCTACAAGCTAGTTTCCTTCAATCATCTATGACTGTCAACCATATTTATTTTGTGTTCATATTCGGTATCTAAACGAGTTACTTTATTACGTGAGAAATGAGTTTCTCTGGGTTAGTGATCTTGTCTTTGATTTTAAATCATTTGCAGCCTTAAGTCAATAACACTGTTTCATGAGCAGCCATCACTCCGTTATATTTCACAGCATTGAGTTTATTTATTGAATAGCGTTCTATTCACTGATTTTAGCAATAGGAATTTCGATCATCAAAATCCTTTGGCCATAACAACTTATCGCTTCTTCAGACAATCAATCAGTGATATAAAATCAACTTATGACATAGACGAGTGTTTATTGAAGTTTGAGTAAAAACGAATACGTAACGTGAATGATATTAAAAAGCATATCAGATTATTGCTTTAACACATAAAAATGCAAACTACCAGCTTACACACATAATAAAAATAATTCGTAATTAATATTTAGAGCATAAAGCGTTATAATCAAACAGCTGTAGTGTCTAGCATTATGTCAGGCCCACATGGGTTGCTCTAGCTTCCGGACAGGTCGATTTATTTGTCACTCTAAAGTCACACTTTAACCTTGTCGGTTATTCGCTTACAACCTTGACTGATTTTATATGAGCGTGTGTGTACCGCTCACAACATTCCTCACATGTCTTTAGCTTATTTTCGTCTGGTTAGAAATATTGATTTCCGCTTTATCAAATGGAGTTGGCGCGCTTGTCTTTCCGATCTGCTTCTCCATTCCGTTTCTCTGATTGCCTGTGTGGGACGAGTGTATGAAATATACATATCCAAAATTCATGCTCATATTTGGTTTATTTGATTCCGCTATTCACTAACGCGAGTTAAGTTGATAATTATATACGAGGGTATCCGGGATGTATATTTCACTAACATCACTGTTTGACCAAATTGGAGTCAAATAGGTGGGCCACGAAACATCAACTAACAAATAGCTTGTTGAAGGTTCAAATTAACTTGGTACTTTAATTATGAAAACTTATCATCGACCGAAAGACTTACCATCTGGTTCTCTCTCTGAGATATGCTGCAAGTTTGAAGTGCTTGATTGTGTGTAGACTGAGGAAAGCATGAAGTCTGAAGGTTCGACGCTCATACCAAAGTCCCCTTGTGTTCGATAAGAAAAGTCTCTCACCCCTTGCATATCTCCCAGAGGAGCTGGACCATTGTGCCCTGCTCTAGAAATGCGACTATCTGAACGATGATAAGGATAAGAATTATTTAAATGTGGAGGATCATTTGATAAAGAACGATAACCAGATAAACCATCCTTGGCACATTCTGAGTGGCAACCTGATTGTGATTTTCCTACATGGCCAACATGATTAGGAACGGCAGATCCATAATTGATGACATTTGTTTCACCCATTGGTTTGTCATGAGACTTCCAAGCACAACAAGCACAAAAGTTTCCCATTTTTAGTTTGTATTTTGAGCTAAACACATAGAAGTCGAAGGTACTACTAACTCATTGTTCGAACAAAAGACAGGCTGAAATTTTTCAAAAAAACATGACTTTATTTATATTTCTGTATTATAAACACATTAAATTCAGCATAATACTGTCTTAGACCTAAAAGTAAGTCAGTGTACTAGTAAACATTATTTCTTATTCGTCAACGGATACTTGTTTATTGGATTGGACCAACTTTAACCAAAGCATACATAGTTGAACTTAACTAATTAACAGTTAGTTGTTCAGGAAGCTGCTACCTTGACGCGGTGGTCGGGCTTGCCTATCGTGATGACCCAACCGAGCTATATTGGCTGGAACATATGTTCCTGCAGGTTCTACCATGCCAGGCAGGTCGATTGGCGAACGGTAAGACTAAAAGCAGCAACTCAAGGTCTGAGGGCGAAGTCGTACTGCTGACTGTAGAGAGGTGTGACAGCAGTAAGGTGTTTCCCTCGGACAACCAGCATGACAGCGATGCTGCCTTCCCACAAGGAGGGGTGGGGTTAGAAAAGGTCGACCCTAAAAATGCACACCTCACCTTACCTCACGGATTTCCGTCTCCAGCGGTAAGGCCCCTTGAAGAACGGAGCTAACACGTCAAAAACCTTCCACAAAAAGGCCGTGCGCGACCGGCCTCAAGCAGTTGTCCCTTGGGCTCTGCGGTCACGCTCCCAGGTCGTCAAGACCAACACTAATCCAATTTCCTTTTCAGGTTCCTCAAGAAATACCCTTCCACGGTGTGGGCAGCCGGGAAGTGATATCAGCCCTCATACCCGTAACAGCACAAGAGGTTCACTTGTTGACTTAGAATATGCAGATGACATAGTTTTATTTGGTGAAGACGCTGACAAAATGCAGAGTCTTCTGACCACTCTAAGCAACAATGCAAGCATGTTCGGAATGCGATTCTCCCCCTCGAAATGCAAAATGTTGCTTCAGGATTGGGTTACATCGACACCCGAACTAGTGATAGGGAGTGAAGTAGTTGAGTGTGTCGACCGCTTCACTTATCTTGGAAGTCTCATCAGCCCTTGTAGTCTGGTGTGTGACGAAATCTCAGCACGGGTACAGAAGGCTCGACTAGCTTTTGCCAACTTGCGTCATTTATGGCGTAGGCGAGATATCAGTCTATCAACCAAAGGACGTGTTTACTGCGCAGCAGTTCGTCCCGTCCTACTTTATAGCAGTGAAACATGGCCGGTAAGAGTAGAGGATATTCGTAGGTTACTAGTATTTGATCATAGGTGTCTTCGAAATATTGCTCGTATATCGTGGGACCATCGAGTAAGTAACACAGTTGTTAGGAAACGGGTACTAGGTAAGGATGGCAAATCAATTGATGAAGTAGTGAAACTTCATCAGTTGAGATGGCTGGGACACGTGTTACGTATGCCCAACGACCGACTGCCTCGACGTGCTATGTTCAGTGGTATAGGAGTAGGTTGGAAGAAAGCTAGGGGCGGCCAAACCAAAACATGGCACAAGTCCATGAAGTCACTGACAAGTGAACCGAGTCATGTTGGTAGGTGTAGACTACCTGGTTGGGGACCGCGAGATGACAGCAACCGATGGTTAGAGACCCTGAATGACATGGCTCAAAATCGTTTGCAATGGCGCAGGTGCATCCACTCTCTGTGTTCTCCCAAATTCTAATCTTCTGAATTCTTCATGTCCTTTTTTTCCTCTTTCCAAATTTATTTCACTGGATTATACTCTTTAAGTAACATCTCCAAACACTAATCTTTCCGATTACTGCTTATACTCTTACTACCTCTACCACTACGGGATTTGAATCGACAAGTGCATCTCTGTGCTAATGTGGTGTGGCAACTCGAACTGATGTACGTACGTACGAAGTTCTACGTTGTTACTGACTGACTGACTGACTCAGGTTGTTGTTGCCTTATACTATAATTCACAACAATCAGGATGAAAAGATTTCGGATGTGATTTAAATAGAGAAAATGTACGTTTTTACAATGTCATTTTGCAGAGTACATAATTTCTTACCTTATACAGTATCCTTAATCCAAAACACGGTTAGTAAAGAAATATGCTTATGCTAATGACAATGGAAGAAATAGCGACTGAAGTAGTAAATTAATGTAACAACTTTGACGAACAAAACATTTCACGAATAAATTATCCAAGGATTGAAAGTCTACAACGACTATGACTTGATGGAGTATAGAGTCGTGCATGAAATGGGTCAGTGAAAATTGTGGCCTTTTAGTGATTGTAGTGACTGAAGGATGTACTTAATATCATGATCCATACCCTGACAGAATGTGGATTGCTGCCTAGAGTACTACTGGATCTGGAAAATGCTGTGGAGAGACTTCATAACTACATTGATTTATGCAGTTACCGACTGTAAGTTTAAGCCATTTTAGCAATGCGGACGCGATTACTAAAGATATCCTAGGTATCATGGCTCAACATTTATAAATGGTGTGTGTGGTTTTATTCCTTAACTCGTTTCGTATCTTAAAAATCTAATTCTTCAACATTTGCTCACTTCATGTAGACCAAGAACCTTCATGACTCTATTATAATCACTTGTTAATTTCTTCTTTATGCGGCATCATGAAATTTAAGGATATAAACATAATATAAGCAAATTTGTGTCAGTGCGGCTAATATTTTGAATCAATGCTTAATACATGATCCACCCCGAGTTTCATCTAATTAATACATATAGCACAGCTCTGATTCACATCACTTGATGGAGGTCATGAAGCACCAAACGATTTACCGACATACTCTTGAATATGGTGGTCTTGGATGCAGTCAGAAGTATGAGGGCAGTTATCACTTCCCGGTTGCCCACACCGTGGAAGGGTTCTTCTAGAGGTACCCAAAAATGAAATCGGGTTAGGGTTGGTCTTAGTGACCTGATAGCGTGACCGCAGTGCCCGAGAGACAAGCGCTAGAGATCGATCACACACGACCATTTTGTGGGTAATTTTTGTGTTAGCTCCATACATGTTGAGAACTTACTTCCGGAGACGGATATATGTAAGATAAAGTGAGATGTGCATTTTTAGGGTCGACCTTTTCTAATCCCATCCTTCCTTTGTGGGAGTGCAGCATCGCTATTATGCTGGTTGTCTAAAGGAAACACCATACTGCTAGCACACCTCTGTACAGTTAGCAGTACAACTTCGCCCTCGGACCTTGGTTTTACCGCCTTTAGTCCTACCGCTCTTTAACTAACATGTCTAGTATGGTAGGACCCTGAGGAACGACTGTTTCAACCAATATAGCCCGATTGGTTTATCACAATAGGGAAACCTGGCCGCCACGTCAAGGTAGCAGCAACGGTTGGGGAATTCAAAGCCGCTAACAGAGCAGTCTTGTTCAATTTTGGTCTTACGCAGTTCCCCTCTATCTTCATACACTAATCAAAATAACTGAAATAGATGATTACTTCTTATCCACAAAATATTCCGATTAGTTGATTTTATCTGGGATAGTCAGTTAGCTGGTCATATCCAACTAAGAATCCCGGGTGAGGATAACTATTTCGGTTTACCAGTGTTATCATCGCAGAGAAAATCACGGAGATGTAACGAGTAAAAGACAAGATATAAAGTGCAATGAATCTAAGCATGGAGAATACAATTTACAAGCCACAAACGAAAATTAAGAATCGAAAACATGAAATGACACCAAACTAAAGATTAAGTATAAATGCAACTGTTCAGTGGGATTGTGTTATCCGGCGGCTTGGAACATTCGCAGTTTAGACCAGTGGTATTTCAAGCTTCAAACTGTTGCATAGACCAGGAGACAGAATAGGGACTTGAAAAAAAGGTTTAATATTGAGAAACAAGTAGAAAATGTTTTTAAAAGGACCAATTAAGCTAGAACACAACAGAAGACGGAATTAAGAGGAAAACCAGCCGCCAATCGACACTTATTTGCTGAACGTTACATGCAAAGCATTACAAGTTCAGTAAAGAGTACAACCATAAGGACATATGTATCTTTAAATCTAACACGTAGATAAGTTTATAGTGACCTAAATATGTGGTGCACTTTGGGAATAAAGTGCTAAGCCTGCCACCTCACACACCTCGTAACTCAGCAGTAAAGCCTTCACCTCTAGTAATTATACAAACCACATGCTTCAGCCGTTGTGTCGATAACCTTGTAATTATGACCACCGTTTAGTATCTACACAAAATGGCACATATTAAAATATTTGCGTACTAGGAATTCGGATTTAAAATGAGCGAGCTTAACAACTAAAAATTCCCTTCCATTAAATACATAATTCAGGTTGCAAGTTACCCATGAGCCCGAAGACCTTGAGATTCATAGTAGCCAGATTTCGGCGCCAGAAACATAACCTTCAGTCTTCAGCAATAAGGATAGGAGGTCTGTCGACCTATATTAATCCTTGCAGTTTGTAATACTGTGGAGGTCCAATCTCGTTTTGAATATATTAACAGACGGTGCTGATATTACGTGTTCCGGTAGGGAATTCCAGTAATTCACTACTCGGTGCGAGAAACGGAACTCCAGACGTAAACGGTTTGATCTCGGTTTTTGAACTTTCTTCGAATGTCCTCTCAAATGATCGGTTCTAGGCGGAAGCAAAAAATAAGACATGTTAATACCAAGGTCATCGTTCAGTATACGATAAGCCAATATTAGATCACCCCGTACTCTACGGTAAGATAACGGAAATAAGTTAAGGTGTCTCAGTCTGTCTTCATAAGATAGGCCAGTTAGACCTTGTACCATCTTAGTAGCTCGTCTTTGGACTCTTTCTAGCATATCTGCTTCATATTTGAAACAGGGACTCGCTGCTTGAATCCCGTATTCTAAATGTGGTCGCACATAAATCGGGTATAGTAATCCAAACATTTCATCATCTAAATACTGAAAAGACCTACGAATTGACCATAATACCCTATAACCTTTTGCAGCAGCAGCCTTACAGTGACTAGTCG